TAACGCACACATCCTGCTTCTCCACGGCTGCACCAAGGAGCAGGAGGGGAATGGAAGCCCCTGTCCTGGTGAGGGGACCCACACGGGGTTCCCAGCAGAATTCCCTCGTTATTTCTTTCACAGGGGACTAAACACAACCTTCAGAACCAGCCCAACCCAGCACAGAAAGAGTGGAAAGGATGGAAAAGGCAAGGTGGCAGCTCCTCACGCCCACCACTACTGGCAGAAAGAACAGAACCGGGGAGAGCAGGAAGGGAACGGGCATTCAATGCGTTCCTTGCACATCAGTGAGATTCCCCGCGCCCCACCGCGGCACCCAAACGGGGCGAAAAAGAGCAATGCAGGAGATTAGTCGCTTCGTTTCAACTCTTAAGTGGGAGGGAAGTTAATACTAAATTAGGTCCAAGTGGTGCTTTGAAGGGGCTTCACTGTCTGTACCTGGGAGGAAGGGAAACGGAGAACATGAAAACAGTTAAGTGTGACTGGAAAGCAGCAAAGAAAACAGATACAGACATGTTTAAACCTGATGTCTAGGCATCAAAAAAAAAAAAAAAAAAGGAAAAAAAATCCCTTTTCAAGCACTAGATCCCATCCTAGCGAACCCTATTCAAAACACAGGAGAGCAGACACCAGCACTTGCTTCTATTTCAAACTGGACCGACAGCAAACGGTCTCCAGGTTCCACACCACGACAGTATAAACACTCTACAGATCCCGATCCGACATCATTCCACACCATTTCCATCATCAGCTAAGGCTGACACCACACTTCTTTGCTGGTGACAAAGCAAACTTAAAACAGCTTCCACCTTCCCATTCAGACGTATTTTCTCAAAATTCACGTCTTCTCCTGCTCTCTACATTAAGTGGGAAAACCCATTTCCAACCAAGGCTTCAAAATGATAGAAGATTGAGCCAATGAAAGACTAAAATCACACGGCTGAGAGGCAACCGCGCAGCGGAAGGTGAGGAAAGCAGCTTGGCAAGACTCACAAGAGCGTGTAGGTCGATTTGGGGGTGGCCACGCCGCCCCCCCCCCCACCAGGTCTGCTCTGGGTTCACCAGTCGTACCGACGGGACTGTCTGGAGGGAGAATCCTCAGGGCCCTGGATCGCAAGGCGAGTCCCCTCGGTGCGGCGGCCACCGCCGCCTTCGTGACGCCGGTAATCCAGCCCCCGCTGCGGCCGGAATCGCGACGTCTCTCGCCTCCACTCGTCGTCGAAGGCGGCTGCATCGCCTACGGAGGGAAAGAACCCGCTCGGATGCTCGGGGAGGAGGTGGGGAAGAGGCACCTGGGCTTGCTGGGAGGGGGACACGGCCAATACTCACTCTCGTCCATGTTGATGTAGTCCTGCCTCTCCTCCTGGTCACCCGTGCGATGGTTCCGGGATCGCTGCATGATGTGGGCCCGCTCCCTGATGTGGTGTCCAATCGACATCTGTTCCAAGCCACTGTCCGAGTCCCTTACGGTCCGTCTGGTCTCCCGGATCTGGGGGCACATTCCCGTGTGGGATCAAGATCTGGATTCACCCTCCCAGCCCTGTAAGGTGCTCCCATTCTTGCCTGCAGTACGTCAGTCACGCTGCGCTCCCAGGATGTCAGGTGCAACATAACAACGAGGGAAAAATGGATTCCACCCCCCACCAGCACTTCCCATCCCCTCCCAGTGGCCCTCAGCACGGTTCAGTGAGTCGCCAACGCGTTCCTCAAACCACCAGGGACTGCAAAGCACAAGTGCTGCGGGTGGCCACCACACAAAGTCCACCCACCCCCAGCAAAACCAGCAGCCTCGTGCTGGGAAGGTGCAGTGAAGCCTCCTCCTTACCCCGCCAGGTGCAGAACGCATCTCTGAGGTCTCCTGATAGACTTTGGGCCCGTCCCCCAGGTTGGAATAGGAGATGACAGTCGAGGAGGTAAATGTCTGGCAGTTGGCACCACTTGTCATGTGCTCCTGCAAGAAGAAACGGGGAATGGTATAAAGAGGGAATGGGAGGGGAAAAGAGATGGCTGTTAATTCTCTTTCTATACAACAAAGTAGGGAAAAGTTACACCAGGACAAGTATAACCCCCATGTGGTCCATCCTTCTGGAGAATACATCTTCCTGTCAAATTAATCCGTGTTTCTTGCTAAAGAAGTCTACCCCGACACTTCCCTCCTCGCCCATCTCTCCGCCCTGCACTCAGGGTACGCCTCAGGAACAAAATCCCTGAATCCTGGCCATGAAGCAAGGCTCAGCCCCTGCCATCCCAGCAGCTTGAGCACAGCCCACACCAAAGACACGCAGTAAGATGGGAGACATCAGAAGGGATGGCAGGAGCACCCTCAGCACTCCCCTCAATACAGACTGGTTTATGGAGAGCTCTTACCATGTTTCCAATCATGTCGTTCATCATCCCAAACATGTCTATAAAGCCACCTGCCTGATGAAAAGAGAACACAAGAACAGTCAGCTTGGAAAGATACCAGAGGAAAGAACAACAAACTATCTGCAAGGGACAAAAATCTGCTGCCTAAGAAAAAAAACCTTGTTCTTTTCTTTTTCTTTCAATAGTACAGGAAAAAAAAATAAAAAGGATCTGGGGTTGCTGCTCTCTCCGCTCTCTCAGGCTGCACTGCCTGATCTGGCTCTCCAGGTCTCTGCATACTGCAAAGGTTGCTCTTTCCACTGGGGTCTGACTCCCGATGCACTGGGCTTTGAGAGCCCGGGCACCCCGCAAAACCAAGAGAAGGAACCTCAGGATGGGCACTAACGGTGATCTTAACCATGAGACAGTCACCCCCCGTGATGTTTTCACCTCATCACTGTCAGCTCTTCATTTAACCCACGAGGAAGTTTCCACTGATTGTCTTCTTTCTAATATAACCACAAGTTTTCTTCTTTTCCCTACACCTGACTTTTAATCTGCTAAACCCACGGCCCGCAGTGACATCCTGGGCCAGCAGGTCTCACAGGTTCATTGTGCAATACGTAAACAAAATTGCCATGTCAGTTTAAACTTGCTGGTTTTTTCGCTTCCCCCAGTAGCCTCTTGTTCCTGTTTTCGGCACAGCAGGACTCACACACGATGTTATTATCCTTTGAAGTCTATCTGCTCGTGTGCTTATTAATCCTTCTCTGAGCTACAACAGCTCCGGGACGCTTAGTCTCTCTCACTGAGGCAATCCTGCAGAGCCAGGCAGCTAAAAAGTTGCTGGATCTGGAATAACCTATTTCCACAGTCATAGAATCACAGAATGGTTAGGGCTGGAAGGGACCTTCAAAGGTCATCTAGTCCAACCCCCCTGCAAGGAACAGGGATATCTCCAACTAGATCAGGTTGCTCAGGGCCTCGTCCAACCTGGCCTTGAACATCTCCAGGGATGGAGCATCCACCACCTCTCTGGGCAACCTGTTCCAGTGTTCTACAACTCTCATGGTAAAAAATTTTTTCCTAATATCCAACCTGAACCTACCTCCCTCTATTTTAAAACCATTACCCCTTGTCCTATCACAACAGGCCCTCCTGAACAGCCTCTCCCCATCTTTCTTGTAGGCCCCCTTGAGGTACTGGAAGACCGCTAGAAGGTCACCCCGGAGCCTCCTCTTCTCCAGGCTGAACAGCCCCAACTCTTTCAGCCTGTCCTCAGTCCTTCTCATTCCAGCCCTGTTCACCCACAGCATCCTGTTGGCTTTTCCATCCGCCACCGCTGGCAAAGGAGGTTCAGTAATCACCTCTGCCTACTGATGGCCCAGTCTTTTCCTCGCACCGTCACGGTTCCTCCATTACCTCCACACAGATCTGCAGCTTCTTTTCAGACATATGAGGTTATTAAGAGACCATCTGCTCCTGCCGGACATTCCCTGTCCCAATTCCTATGAAATATTGTGCTGTAACAGCTTTAGGGCTCTTCTCTGGTCAAGGTGCAAACACAACCTCCCCGTATAAACAGCGTCGGAATTTCTCCTCTAAAACAGCTCACAGACTGGATTAAAACATTAGAGGGGAAACAGGCCTGAAGTCGTACAGCAACTCAATGACAGAGGTCCAAGAGAAACCAGTTGCCTCCAGTTTCAGTTCAATAACCTCTTCCATACCCTCTTTACTATAAATCCAGAGCTCGTTCTGGTCTCTTCACCCCTTCCTCCCCTCGCTACCCGTTAGGATTGATGGTCTTGCTCATGGATGGCTGCATTTGAGCACTGGTTGCACACAGGGCTGATGAATCTCAGTACGGAGCTGCAACTGGGAAAGCCTCTAATTTGACCCAGAAAAACAGAGAACTTACCATGCCGAGCATCCCAAAGGGTGAAACGGCTCCTGCCTGCCAGGACAACAGAAAAACAGAACAGAGAATGACCTTGCAGCAGTCAAAACTGCTCAGAACTTCTGAATCTTCCTCAGAACACCCTCATCCTTCTCAGAAACAGAGCTGGGAACGCTCAGGCCCAACAGACAGACCGGGAAAGTGCCCCACAGACTCAGGGTGGTTCGAACCGCATCGCCCCTAACGAACCAGACAGAAGACGATGCTCCTAAATTTTTCCCAGTCACGTTGATTTATGTCCTTAAGAAATAACACGAATTTCTTCCCTTCCTTGCACTCAGCCTAGAACACAGGTGCACGTGGAGTAAAGAAAACGACACCACCACCACTGTTTTACAGATGAATTCCGTGCCCACCGCCCGTGGGAAGGTGAGGGCTGTGCCCAAATCAGTCACGGGAGGGGACAGAAGCTAACGAGGCAGTTTAAGAAAGCCCACCCTGGAGTGGGTCCCTCTTTTACCTGCATCCTACGGCCAGCTTGGCGCGCCCCAGGTGTGGTCCCGTCGGTGATGCCAAGGAGTGGGCCGAACCCGAAACTTCCCGAAAGCATGCGGTTCATGTGCTGCCGGTGGATGGCAAAAGGGTCCCTTTTGGGAAGGTTGAGAGAACACCGGTGAGGAAGGATGACACATAACCCACGCGTTCTGACTTTGAGTTTCTCTTATGTGACTGTACATTCCTTTCCAAGCTGAAAATCCAGAATCCCAAGAACTCAGCGTTGCTTACGGTGATCCTGGGGGCTGGAAGGGACCTCTGGATCCCATCCCATTTCTTGTAATAGCAGGTATTGCACCACAGAATCCCTCTCGGGCACAAACTGATGTCTGTTCAGAAGCAGTTTAATGTTCTACTTCCATTAACACTTCAGGGCCAAGCATGGCCAAGGCCATTCCAGAACCTCACTGCTCTAACTGATGAAAGCCACTTCTCAGACCTGCAGTCCACGTACCACCATCATTTCACACTCATTTCCCCTCATGCCATCAAAACCCTTTAGGTTAACAGCTCTGCAAAACAATCAAACCCTTCTAGAAGAGCAGTTCTTCACTTTGCAGGAAAGTGCACTAAGACCCTCCTGGCTGCCAAGAGAGGATTACACTTAATGGGACCGGAGAGCACGCGATCCCAGATATTATCCTCTCACCCCGTCACACACACGCACACAAACACACTGGAATGCAAGGCTGAAACCTCTGGAATGGACTGTGTGACATCCCTCTGCCCCAAGTAGCCTTCATCTGTTACCTTGATACGTGTACACCTGTCAAGAGATTGAGATCACACACAGCTTTTGCAGATTTGAGAGGGAAAGGGAACAGTGACTGGCGTCCCTAACTGGTTTTCCTTCCTTTCCTTCTTTTGCAGCCTCTGCTTTGAGAGAATCATAGAACCATCTGGTTGGAAGAGACCCTCAAGATCATCGAGTCCAACCATTCCCCCTGCACTGTCAGGGTCCCTAAACCATGTTCCTCGGCACCAAATCCACACGGTTTTTAAACACCTCCAGGGATGGGGACTCCACCACCTCCCTGGGCAGCCTGTTCCAACACTTCACAACTCTCCCTGTAAAGAAATTTTTCCTGATATCCAACCTAAATTTCCCCTGGTGCAACTTGAGGCCATTCCCTCTCGTTCTGTCATTCATAACGTGGGAGAAGAGACCGACCCCCATCTCCCTACAACTTCCTTTCAGGTAGTTGTAGAGAGCGATAAGGTCCCCCCTGAGCCTCCTCTTCTCCAGACTGACCAGTCCCAGCTCCCTCAGCCGCTCCTCATAGGACAAGTTCTCCAAACCCTTCACTAGTTTCGTTGCTCTTAATGCCGCAGGCATTCACACAGGCTGGAGAAGCCAGGAGAGAAAAAGCAGAATAAGGACAAATTGTCACGATACAGTGGCCACAGTGAAAAAAAAAAAAGTCTGGGAAACACCACAGCATTTCTCTGCTCATCTCACAGTCTGCACTGGAGCAGAATAACCTCAACAACAGCACGGAATATTCCTGAGATCACACATGCACCTACGACAAACCAGTACTTTTCTGTCTCCACTCGAAACGCGCCCCGAAATAAAAGCCAGACTCATACCTGCCACATCAATGAGAATACAGAGTCATTCTGTGACTAACCGGGACACCGAGGTCTCCTCTCCTGCTCATTTGTTTAAAATTTTTGCTTATTACCAATCTTATAAGCAAAAAAAAACCCCAGACTTTATTCTTCTACATAAATTAATTCTGCTGAATTTCTAGCAGTGCCGTGCTTAACATAATCAAATTCTTACAGTATTACAGTCTATTCCTTATCTGCTTTGCCAAGGACTGCCAACTCCGTTTCCCTGCCAAAATTTATCAATAGCATCCAATTTCTGGGTTGTGGACAGAAACAAAAACATTCTTCAAAAGGAATCCGAGGATCTGGGACCCTTCGTTGGATTTCTAGGCTCCTATTTCAAAACTACTTGTTGTCTTCTCCTGACTTAGCTCCTCACAACTCGACAACTGCTTCAACGCTCTTCTCCAGCTCCGTTAGGGATTTCCCGTGCAGGACAGCAAACACGCACCGGATGGAAGAGGAGATTGCATCCATCTGAACCAAAATCCTACTTTCCTCAAGAAAAAACAGAAAAACCCTCACGCAAAGGAACACATTAGGAATTCCATCCCCCTCTTCCTCAGACAGCTGCCATGCCTTTTGGCCTACTTTATCCCATGACTCCAGAAACCAGACCAACGCCAACCAGGTTATTCCCTGCGCTTCCCCTTCGGAGAACGTTTGGATTTGTCTCCAGACAGCTGCTGCGTTGCGGTATTTCCCGCAGCCCGCACTGCCTGTTCGGACCC